TTCGACGAGGCAGGATCGCGCGCGCAAAAACTCGGTCCGATTAATATATTTTGCGATGCGAGATTCGCCGCGAGATTATCGTAGTACGGCCACGTGATCGGCGATGGTGCGCGAACCATTTTTTGATTTGAATGAGACGACACGCGACGTTTTTACCAGAGAAAAACGCGTATCTTCGATTATGCAGCGACTGCCTTTGTGATTCATGCGGCGCTGGAGCCGAAGAAGAAGGCAGTCGCGCTCGTTTTTGAACGCATCACGTGCATTTTTTTAATCGAGAGTAATGTTTGCCGTCAATCGATAGCTTATTTTTCAATTTTTTGTGATTTGTCTTAACTTAGGTGATCTCGTGTAATATATGAACTCTATTTTCTTGGTCACGTCGAATTTGTTACTTGATCATCTGCGTCTGTATCTGTACGTGTTTTTTATAATAGAGAACTATATATAAATTGATATAAAGAAATTATACATATGAAAAGTTGTCGAGTGCAATTTAAAATTGTGGAGGATGGAGTGAAAAATTAAATTACAACCGGTATCTCGGCATGTCGATCGACAGGCGGTGGATGACATACGACACGAGGGCAAGTTCGAAGTAGCATTTACGCGATTGTGGTTTCTCGAGGACAGAAAAATGCGTTGGATCCTGTTGTTGACATTAGTGCGTGCAATATGGTGCGCGCACGGCGCCTGCGAGCCGATCAGGATCGGATGTGCCGCGGTCTCGGCTACAACGTCACCGTCATGCCGAATCTAGTCGGTCACGAGATCCAAGGCGACGCCGATTTCACTTTACAGACATTTAGCCCGCTCATTCAGTACGGATGCAGGTAAATTGCGTTTTTACAGAGTATCTACTCCCGGGTAAAACCTTGAAAACCTGGTATTCTCAGAGAATTTTGTTTTGAAACCTTGAAAAAGCAGAGAATTCTCATGAAATTTAATTGTGATTCAGGGAATTTTATGTGATTTTTTAATTGAACGGTCTATTTCAGCATCAAAATCTACAAGTTTCATAAAAAATTCAATGTTCAATTTTTTAATAGATAATATTTATTAGTACTTCTTATTTATTTAATTAATAATTTAATAAACAATTTAATAATTTAATAAATAATTTAAATAAATTAATATTCCTTAAGATGTTTATAATAAATTATTTTTTATTTTACTTTATATTCTTGCATATATTTTAGCGTTTAAATATATCCCACTTTATTATCGTTCAAATTAATTTTATAATTAATAAAATAATATTAAATGCTATAAAAACTGCACTCTTGCTAAACTAATGATTTCCAATCGCATGAAAAAAACTATTGCATAACCAAAACGCTATACATAAATTTTTCACGTGCAAAAACTAAACATCAAAAAGAAATGTAAAAAATATAAATAAATTTGGAGCGAGGGATATGTTATGAAGCAATATTTCTTTATATTACTTTTTATCTTTATTGTATCTCAGCTACCTATACAACGGCATTAATGTATGCAATTTGTTGCAGCGCGCAATTGCATCTATTTCTGTGTTCGGTATATGCACCAATGTGTACCGAAAAGGTTCCCGCACCCATCGGACCTTGCCGAGGTCTATGCGAGCAAGTGCGAGCCCGTTGTTTTCCGGTGCTTCAGGGTTTCGGCTTCCCTTGGCCTGCTGCGTTAAATTGCTCCAAATTTCCACCGGAAAATAATCATCAACACATGTGTATGGAAGGACCGGGTGAACCAGGCCCAGCTAATCCTATCCAGGTATTTAACGATTTGATCAATTATATACGTATAAAAAAAATTATCCTGGCAATCGTCGTCTTGAGTTACGTCTAGATATAAATAAATAATTTCTTGTTTGTCTATTTAAGGCGGTGAGCGCCGGCAATGGACCCTGGGGCTGTTCTTGGTACGCCAAATCTGGATTATACATCTTCCTAAATCGTTCCGGGAGATGTGCCGCCGCTTGCGACGCCGACATTCTCTGGTCCCAAAAGGACAAGGGACTCACAGAAGCTTGGATGGCTGTATTCTCGACGGTATGCCTCGTCTCCGTCGTGATAGCCATCTTAACACTTCTAAAGCCGCGAAAACAACCTATACTGACCACTGTAGCAGGTAAGAATTTTCTTTCTGAAATAGAAACATTTTCACATTAAGTGACAGATTGTGGTCCTTTGCTTTGAACACTTGAATTTCACCTTAGAGATTAATGATGGGTTCGAGTGGCTTACAAGAAGATTTAAATTTGTTTTTACATGGTTCCTAGCTCTCTATAGGTCTGTTTTTCAGCTCAGAATTTATCTTTTTCACTCCACATTGGAAGGACTACGATAAAATCTGAACTAGTGCGGCTGAAAAGAACAGACCTTATGATTTAGAAAAAAAACAGTATTTCAAGTAGACTCGCACCTGCATAAGATAGATTTAAACTCTTGTAAGCATCCTGTTTCGAATATTGCAGATACTAAATCTAAACTTCGAATACAACAATGTATTATCTTTAACATAATAAAAGAAATGTGTTTGCTTGCAGAACGTGCTATAATCTTCTTGACGGTCTGCCATACGGTGATTGCGATCGGTTACGTGATTCGATTGGCCGCTGGCCGGTTGAACGTCGCATGCACCCCCGCGATTCCACTGCATCCGCAGGAACAAATCGTCCTGACCCAACAGCAACAGCAGCAACAGTATCTCACGCAGGACGGTTTAGCCAATCCTTACTGCGCCGTCGTCTTTCTATTGCTCTATTATTTTGGAAACACTGCGATTGTTTGGTGAGTCTTTACATCTTCGCCTTATATATATATATTTTTTTGATTAACCATACGTAGGCTACTGTTTGAGATGACAAATCTTATCTTGAGATCTTTGAATTCGCCGCATCTATAAATAAACGCAAGGTGTTTTTGTTTTTATTTTTTCTTTTTGGCGTTGCTTCAATTGGCGAAGGTAGGAATTTTGCGGCAGGCTTTCCCCCATTGCCTCGATTTTAATTACGTACAGATGTGAGACTCGTATAACATGTTTCAAAGTTGTCGGTTGTTTCGGAGCGCCTTGTTGCACTCTCGGCAAGGCTGCATCCTCATCCGAGGTAGGGATAACAATCTGGCAACAGTGTTGACTCCCCTCGTGCCGCTAACGAGCCTCTGACTCCCATCTCGTCCCATCCCATCTCATCCCGTTTATGCTGAGAGGCTCATCTTAACTCGTCTAACGGGTGGCAGGAAGTAAAAAAATCGTACGTCCACCCGCGTTTTAAATCCATCGTGTTTGTACAAAATAGATTTATGCCTCGTTAGATTTACATGTCGATAAAGATCTCGATAAATCTTATGGAAAGTATCTCTCTAACGCGACACGAACATGTATTTTTTACTTGAAGATGATATCTTATGAGATCTTTAAATTGGAGTATTTGTGCTGTAAGAAAACAGTTTTGTGTGTGTGTGTGTGCAAATGATTATTCCTCAATTATTTACGTTTACATCGAATCATTGGTAATTTTGTAAATTCGATTCGAGGATTTTTCATCTATCTATGTGTTATTGGCACTTGGGGTTTTGTTCAATTCTTCCCTTTCTATATCTTTCTATAGAATATTTGTCTATAATCTCTTGTCTGAATCTAGTTTTAAATTTTTACCTTCGTGTACCTTTTGATTTTTGAAATGAATCACCCGATATATAAGGTGGGTCGAAAGGAACCTTGTTGCCAGATATGCATGGAGTCAATGGCATTCCATCTTAGAGAAAGCAAGCTGCTTCGAGGCGGATAAAGAAAGCGCGAGAAAAGCAGAACGAGAGAGGAAGAGGGAGAGAGAAAGAGAAAGAGAGAGAAATGAAGGCGGGAGGGAAGGTGAACAAAGCGATGCTTCTCGGACCAAGCAAAGAGCAAGATGATTCACAATGCGTGGATGCAATTTGCGTGGTTGAGATTGTGTATGCAAATGAGTTTCGCGAAATTCGATCGTCTCGTCATATGAATCTTCGAATTTATGTGAATACTTAAGCATATGTAAAAAATTCAATTATATATAAATCTTTTGGAGATTTCCTTTCTTTCGCAAATTTCATCGTTTTCGAATCGATAATTATAGATTAGCATTTGTCAATTTTTTTCAACTTTTTAAAACCGTTTTTCACTTTACAATTATACATTTGTAGATTAAAAATGATGAAGAGGAATCAGTGCGATAGAGATAAAGTTACTTAAAAGAACTATCGCAGAGAGAATCCGACCCTGGACCCGAATACTTTTGTGCAGCCGTAGCAAACTGGTCATATATAGCGTACGGCCATAATTTACATCGAAAGAGCCGATAAACATCGCACCCTACGGACATGAAGCCACGAAGCCATGGACCCGTAGGACCCCTTGTACAACCCCCGCCATTGTCCTGTCTCTCCCTTTTCTCTATCACCCCCCTATCCGCATTAATTCTCCGTAACGTATGTCACCAAGTTACACACATATAAAAGCGTCGATTCCCAAGTTAATAAAATTATAGCCAATCGCTGAAGAGAATAGAAACGTAATTCAATGTTGAATTTGTAAACTTCGCTTTTATTAGAGTCTTTTATTTTATAATAATTTATGCATTAGTCAATTATTTCTGTGTGTGTATTAATTTATATTTATTTTTTTTTCCTACAAAATTGCGCACAGATTTATGGCTTTTGAAATGAAAAATTGTTAATACATAAAGGACTTTCATCTTCGAAGAATCGAACCGGTAATTGACGTTGCTACGCCATTGACAAAGAGGAGATCGTACGGGCTCTCGTGGTAGTAGGTAGTCCAGCAGTTTCGTTTCCGTTTCTCTCTTTTCTCTCCCTTTTTCGTTCTCCCCTTCGCCTTCCCTTCTTCCTTCCCCCGATGCCCCAACAGTTTGACGGCCGTCTCAGGAACGAGGGGAAAAAGGACAAGTCGAAAGAGAGGCTCGAGGAAAGAGCTGATCCATCATCTCTCTCTCAATGCTCTGGCCTGGGCCTTAAAGCTTAAGGATCCGGATCCGAGAATTTCTCGATAATTTATCCGAGATAAGAGCTCTGCCCGGAATGGTCGAGACCCGTCGAAGGCTCCGATAACAAGTCTCTGGCATTATTATCCCGCAGTTGGGTATTATCCTGCGAGGGAGAGACCTTTTTGTTCTTTTGTTCCTCATTTATAATATAAATACGATGCAGAAACATTAATAACGTATAAACGTGATACCAGTTGCGAGAAGTATTGATGAGACACGATTTTTTGCTCCGATCAGAATGACAATATAGTTCGAGGAAGACGTATTGTAAGCAGTACTTTGCAATTTTAACGACTTCGTCGCAAACTTATTTGCATTCTATTGTTATGTTTATACAAAGAGAGCTCTCTCTCTCTCTTTCTCTGGTTTATTATCATCGAAAGGATTCAAGAATCGCTTCTCGTAATCGCTCACGCGATTGTCAGCCCCGTCACATGGACATCTCTCGCAAAAGGGCCATATATGAGTTCGCGTGCATAAGCAGCCCCTTCCGTGTGGATGCATCGACACTGCGACGTTTAATTTTTCCGAATTTCATTATTCAGGAAAAAAGGACGAAGCGAATCGACGAGGGAGAGAAAGGGTGAGAACGGAGGAAGAATGCGAGAGGATGAGGTACCTCGTCGTGCATAGAGGGCCCTGCGGGGTATATAATCAGCGAGATGAGATGAGAGGGGTACTAGCTACCTCTTGTTTGTTTTGTTAGTTAGCGAGTCGTTAGGTAGTCTCTCCCCTCCTTCTCTTCCACTTCTCGACTCGGAGTTGCACGGAAATTGTACGAGTGGTCGACCACCCAACCATGCGTACCAATGATTACCAGAAAGGAGGGAGTGAGGTATCTCGTGCCACGACTAATCGCTCTTATTACGCGTACTCTGATGAGATTAAGCTCGTTATTCCTCGCAAACGCATTAACCCCTTCTGTCAATGCATAATTTTTCACCTTTCCTTTCGTCAATAGGTCGGTTCTTCTTAGCTGAACTGGCTCCACTAGTTCAGAGTTTTTTTGTTACTCCACTTGTTGGAAGAGGAAAAAGATAAACTTCTACAAGTGCAGTCAGTTCAGCTAAAAAGAACAAATCTAATGCATATTGTACTGCGACCTTTTTTTAGCAGCTGCTGAGTATCGAACGTTTTTTCGTTATATTTTAGGAGATATTTAAAGGTCCTTTGTATTTTGTTTTGGACAAGTTCCAATATACATTTTTAATATTCAAAATTGCTGTGGGTACCTGGGTGCTCATATTCATTGAAGACAGAAGGGTTTAATCGTGCAAGATTGATGTGAAAATGCAAAGCAAGTCGTTTCTTTTTTATGTATATTTCAGTTTGTCTTCTACAACTAAACTTCTCAAAGTCCCTAAACTTCTATTAGATTCGGTATTCATCAGTAGCAAAGCGATTGCACCTGGCAAAGTGTCGATCATTCCTTCTCTTCCTTTTTTTTTTATCGGCGTTCCGCAAATGCAAAAGTCCGCGCGTGTGCACTACATCACATCCATTCATCACGACCGGAATTCGTCGGGCGAGTTTTTGCTTTTCCAACGCGATAAGTTAAAAGGGAATTACCGAATCTCTGCCGAATCTCTCTTCGCGCTAATCTCACAGTTTCATGGCTTCTCTTTATTCCTCCTTTGAAGAAATAAAGAAAATATATATCTATGTTTGATTTTATTACTTATGTTTGTTTTCTTAAGAAAAAAATTTCTTGTCTTGAGATAACAATATTTATTATTTTTAAACAATATTATAGATTTTGAAAATTATATTCCAAGAGTAAACAAAAAAGGTGGTGAGATGAAAAACCTATTTTGTATGACTCTACCTGTCCCAAGAGACTGCTACGATTTGTGAAGTAAATACTACCGTCTTTGTCACTTGAGAACTATTATCGCAAAAACTCGAAAGTGTGATATCGCCTTACAATTTTTAAAAAAAGATCCCGATTAAAGAATTCCATTAAAATTTTAAAATAATCTTTATTTTAAACTTATGAATTAAAATTAAAATTAAAATAGTAATCATTTATGTTAATTAATTATTATATTTAAATTAATACAATTGTCGCTCGTATATTGAAAACAAAGTGATAAATATAAGGCCAACTTATCGAGCTGAATATTCGAGATGTTCAGTCAACTACCATTTATTACATGTATAAATTATAAAACTACAGTCATTATATTAAAACTAACGCAAATTACAATCATTCTATAAACGTTTCGACCGCACGCGGTCTTCTTCAGTATAATTATTGAAATATAAATTCTTACAATTCACATAATATCGAAATTTAATTATAGTTATTCAGAATCAAGAGTTTTTGAGTAATTAACGCGTGTTTCAATCCGTCCTGTCCAACAATGTTCGCCTCGATATGATCCCTGATTTTGTTCAGATCTCGGATAGTTTCATCGTTAATATGCGAGAAATTAACCCGTTCCGTAGGCGCTGCGATTTATAAAAAATTACCGATCAACGCATGTCCAAATTATAATATGTATCCCCTACAATTGGTAGTATGCTTACCTATCATCGTTCTTCTTGATAATTTTGCTACTTATTAACAGTTATTAAGGATGACACATAACAAACCAACAATACAGAAAGACAGCTCATTTTAAACTCTACTTGATCGGAGAGCGTGCGTGTTTATATATGATCTAATATCTATGTTTTACTCGTTAATGTCCTATTTGTCCTATTATTATTTCTTGTTCGCTAATATATCCAAAATATCAAAATACGACTCGCTAAGTAACTCAGTATCTTTGTTTAAATTTAGTCCATTTTTTTGTTCCTTGATATGTAGCATCTCAGAAATGAGTCTTTTATAATAATTATTTTCGTTGTCCATGATCTTAACATTGTCCCAATTAAAAGTATGATGTTCATTTATTATGTGTTCAGAAATTACTGAATGTTTCGTTGAGTCCAACCTAATATTATTTTTATGTTCTTTTATTCGCGTCTGCAATTGCCTCTTTGTTTGGCCTACATAAGATGCATTACAATTATTGCAACTGATCTTATAAACCACATTCGAATTGCATGGATGTTTAGTTTTATCTTTCTGCGCTTTAATAATATTATCCAGTTTGTTGAGACATCTATACCCTACCATACAATTTTTATTTTTTACCGAGGAAACAATCATTTCTGAGATCCCATCTATATACGGAATGACAAAGAATTTTTTATTGACCGAGTCATTTCTTATACTTTTTGTTCTTTCTATGTTGGCCTGTCTCTCTATAATGCTCCCCTTAGATATGATGTGTTCTATCCGATGATTAATTTTGTTAAAAATCAGATCAAGAGGGTAACCATTGCTTCTGAGTATATTAATAATTAACTCCAAATTTTTATTAAAAAATAGTGGATGTGATAGCAATAGACATCTGTCTACAAGGTTATATATTATTCCTATTTTGTGGCATAGTGGGTGGTTTGAATAAAATGATAACGTCCTTCCTGAGAAGGTTTCTTTTTGATACCAGTCTATATATATTTTGTTATTAATAATTTTAAGTGATAAATCTAAGAAATTCAAGCTATGGT